ATATATACAATATATATTATATATATATATGTAGGGAGGGAAATAAAACCGAGATTTTTTTTTTTTTTTTGCCTGGAAGGATTCAGAAGTCCTACTAAAAGCATACATACGGTTTTGAATACTACAGCTGAAGTTCGCTTCCAAACTTCTCTCCCTCTTAAAATACCCAGAGGAGGTGTGCAGGCTGGTAGCAAAACCCAGCCAGCTACATTTCAAAGTACAAAATTCACCGGAAATGTCGTATAAACCCCTTTTACACAGACAAATAGCGGCTAAGACTCCGTACACGGGTTCTGCGTGGTACCACGTATTTCGGAGAGGGGTGTCGTCATTTGTGAAATTAAGCCATCCTAATATACATCTAGGTAAGCAGTAACCTGAAAGTAAGCTAAGCGCAAGCTCAACGCTAACAGCAGGAACCTGAAGCCAGCATAGATCACAAGCTATATCAAATGTATGGTTTTTATTTCATGACTTTCTCTGCCACAGTCTGCTTTTCACACTAAAGCACCTAAAATATTTACAACCATCTTCTAATAAAATAACAGTTAAATACTGAAAATAAGATTTTTCTCATAAAATATGTTTTTTATGTACAGGTTTTATCAAAGAGGACTAAGTTCAATAGTGAACAGTTTTGCATTACCAACCATCAGCAAGAAAACAACTTTCTGAAATAAAACTCTGTCCAATTATGTACAAGCAGGTAGAACAGCATCTGTTTAACATCAGCCAATGCAACACTTAACAGTATGAAGTTAATGTTTGAGGCCTAAATTATACTTGTGTACTATTTAGGAAATGTACATTTTTTTCTTTATGAATAGATTTCTTTGGTTATTTTTTTTTTCTATTACCATCTTGGCTGTACAATAAAACAGCACCTGATTAATGTTACAGATCCAGGCAGATATAATATATATGGGTTTAGCACATACAAATACCTGTCCAATTGTGTATAGAAAAATACAGAGCTAGTCCTCAGAATCATGCCCACAAGTTTCTACTACATTTCTCTCAGTTCCCCACACAGAACTCTCACTGATCCCAATTAATATTTTGCTCAAATATTGTTTTCTTCCTACCATGAACTGGAGAGTCTGAAAACATCTTTCCATTTTTTCCAGTGTAGAAGCCTTTCTCAGAAAGGTCCTTAGAGTTCAAAATGGTACGAGTTTGGAAGAGAAAGAGTAGACCCTGCTGGATTGTTTCTACCACAGGCCTCCAAAAGCCAACACAAGATACTGTGCACAATTGCCCCCACTTGGCAAACCACCAAAATATGCAAAACTTTACTTGTGCAGTCTACAAAATTTACAACCTCAGTGGATCTAGTTGGCTACATACAGCTGACCGCCAAGTCCGCTGAAGCTGGGTAGCATGGCCCCTGAAAAAGTAATGCTTCACAGCACGGACAGGATCCGGTTAGGTGCTCACTGGCAGATCAGGAAAGAAAAAAGGCTGCTCTCTGGCCTCCTGAAAACTCATACGTACAGTAATTGAGAACATCATCCCCTCCTATAGCAGAGGGAAGGGAATTCCACCCACTGGTCAAAACCAACCAACCAACCCTCCTCCCACCCCCGAAACAAACAAACAACCAAAAAAACACCGAAACAACCCCAAAAATATCGAAACAAATCACATACACAGGAACCTCACTAACCTGAAACTGAGAAGTGATTTCCATTCTCCTGAAGGGCTGTTCTTAAGTATGAGAACATTTGACCTGAAGCAGAAACATCAGGCAATTTGGCTTCACATATTTGGCTTCGACAGAGAAGGCACCTCTCTGCCACTAGTGCCACTGGTTTTGAACTTGTGGTTCTGTACTCTTAAACAAAAGTGCTGTGGTTTACCCTCATTTTGCATAGTTACACAAGAAAGACAGGCAGCAGAAAATAAGATCCACCATCTCTGATTCTGCTTAAGATGTTAGGAAGGCAGGAAAAAAAAAATCAACCTGTTTAAAAAAAGTTGAAAATTGGAAGATCTGAAATCAGTCTTACAAAACATTTTATAAAATTAGCAATACTCTTCTACTGTGCAAGATTCACAAGAAAATCGGTGCCATTACCTGTGAAAGCTCTAAAATCAGTACTCTCTTATTTTGTAATTAAAGGTCCATGCAACCTAACTCCAATTCTTCCTGTGGTTTAAGACTGCCAAGTCTTGATTCTTTTGAAACTCAATTTACACAGAGAACCAGATCTAAACTTGCAGAAACGGAATTAGACATCCAGCATGGAGATCTGAGCCTAAGGGGGAAGAAACGGTAATTAAACAGTAACATCATCTCACCTTTGGTGTACATTTTACTAAATAAACAAAATTTGAATTTAACATAATGAGAAAAGGAGGACTGAAAATGGCACAATAACATTGCATGCCCAGGAGTAATAGCAACATGTGCTGCTGAAGGCGTATATTCCACCAATCTCTGTCCCACAGGCAGGAACATCTCCCTGTATTTGTCTGGTGAGAAAACAAGCTCCTGCATTGCTGGAGAATACATCCTCCTAAAACCACTGAGATGGCGATTCAACAGTATGATTTATTGTCACAGCAAAATATATTTCCAGTGCAATCAGATTAACAAGGCAGTGTTCCTGATTCAGTGTTCCCATCAGATGATGGGAGCCACGGCACAATCATCTTCTTTCTTCAATCCTTGAATTAGGTCATTTTAGAATCAGTGGATCAAAACCCTGCTAAAAATGGAAGCTCGGAAGTGTACGGTGTAACCAATGCCTTTAAAAACTGCCTAACGCATACGCATTAAGGCAAGACAGAACTGAAAAAGTACTGTGATATTATGGATGATACAATCACTCCTGTAATTACTTGGCGGTTAAATCAGATTTTTTTCTCCACCTCCCTTAAAATGACAGCACAAGGAAAAAGAACGTAATCACCTCCTTAAGAGAGATGACATTTAGTCTCTATAAGATGCTGGAAGTGATCCAGTGCAAGCCAAAAAAAAAAAAAAACCCAAACCAAAAAAAATTCCATCAGAAGTATGTGAAGATCATTCTTGTAAGTGGGGTAAAATGAAACGTGGAAGAGTTAAAGATCCTACCGTGCAAGGCTGGAGGGAAATGACATCAGAACCATGAACTTCTCTAATTAGTGGCCTTGCAAGATCTCAGCAAAATGAGCCCAGATAAAAACACCTTATAAGAATATTTGTACCAATTATTTATTTTCCCCAAAACACAAATTAATAAAAAAGGAAAAAAAAAGTGGATTTCTTTTCTAGACCTGGATAAAAGAATTATCATTTTTCAACAGGTAGTTTACAATCAGTGGGGAATAAACAAGCAGTCCAAGTTTCCTGACTGATGCATTCACGTTGTGTTCAGGAGCTGTCTATCAAACAACTCTTATTTACAGCTCAGCATCATCCTGCAGTAGATCTGCATCTTCATCCTCTAATAGAAGGTCAGCATCCATGACTTCATTCTCTTCCATGACATCACCTAACTCCTGAACAACATCATCTTCAACATCACCTACGTTTTCAACACGTTTAACCAAACTCATATGATCCAGAGGGATCACACTATGCCCAGCTGGCCCAGTAGTTCTCGCAATAGTGGCTGCCATTTCTGCTGCCACAGCAGCTTTCTGAGCCTTCTGCCTTTGCTGTTCTTCTTGTTGTCTGTGAGTCTTCATATGAGCATTGCGGCTTTTGATTTTGAAAAACACCCTAAAATTTTAAAGAAAAAAAAACAGATAAGAACGCATTACTTTGGATAAGAGGAGCTAAAAAAGACTCAACAACATATCAGTACGTTTGCTTCCTTGTCCTGAAATAGAAGTCAGTGAAGTTTGCAATGCCACGGTGAGAATTTCAGGGACAGACTATCAGATTCATGCAGTCTGACAGCATCAAAGTGGTCCGCTCAGACTCTGCTGAAGGCATTCTGCAGCTCCTGCAATTGCTTCAGTATCTAAGCACATCCCAGTTTTCCCTGCGCTCAGCTTCACTACAGTCTTATGCAATGGGGAGAAAATGCAGGAGCCCCACGTTAGAATGAGCAAATTGCTTGTGGTCACATGCAAGTCTGCAGTGAAACGAGAACCTAGAGTGTCACAGCCAGGAACTCCAGCAGGTTGTGAATTCAGGAAAATTAAAGAGATTATGTGCTGCAGGGAAAGCATCCAAAATGCCACGCAAACCAACCTCTGAAGGATTTGGTAACAGAACATGACATCTTAGGGGAAACAGTGTTCTTTTGAGACAATTGGAACAAAATAAACAGTTTGTTGCAATGCTATTCATTTGGAATATAAATAGATAAATTTGATGCAGTACTGCTGACAGTCGTATTCACTTACTTGCCACACTCCTTACAAGGAAAAATTGTTGTTGGGTCGGTCTCACCGCTTGTTGTGCTGTGGGCAGGTGAACTCTTGATGGAGCAGTATCCGCTCTGTGTACCAGATTTCTGCTTAGTGCCTGGAATGGTACATCGTGTTTTTGTCACCTGATTCGTACCTCCATGAATGCGAGCGTGGCCATTCAGCGCTTGCCGGGAACTGAACACCTGGTGCAGGGTAGGGCGGAGGGAAGAAAAATCAAGAAATACTGCATTGGAACAGGAACTACAGAAAGAAATACGCTGAATGCGTATTAAAATAAAAAACTGTAAACATCAGATACACACAAACAATCCACTTGGTCAAAGGCTGTCCCCAGCTATAACCCACTAAAGAAATTTACTCATCATAAAAACGTAACAGAGCAAGTTATGCTATCCCGTTACCTTTTGGTTATACAACTATAACAATCACAGCTGTTACTATACAGGGCTTTTCATCTACACATCGTCTCAGGAAACAATTTTACATATGTATTGGTGCCTTGCCTATATTTTATGATGTGGGAATTCAAAGCAGGTAGGCAAAACGATTTGTCCATAGATATTCAGGAGACTATTCACTGGTAGGGAAAAGTATAAAATCCGATTTCCAAAAATCACTACTCACTACTATACAAAACGTTTGCCATTACTTAAAGATACCAAACACACGTACAGCGCCACAGTTTGGCATTTCACAGATAAAGGAGGACGAAGAAAGTGTGAGACTCTGAAGGGCAGGCAGATCTATAGGTCCAACAAGAGGGATGGCAGGCGGGTCAGGAGATTTCTGCATTTCTCTTTCTTCCTTTCTGTCTTCTTCGATCTCCTCATCTTCCTCTAGAACTTCCTCTTCTCCACTTGTCTGAAATAGATACTGCATTTAAGAAATACTAGAAATATGGCTAAAAACAGACAGAGTATGGGAACACCATGCTGTTTAGCAAAGTCTGCCTCCAGGTTTCGGCATTTTTT